TTTTAAGAAAATAGTTTTGAAGTATCATAAGTACCATGACAAGTACCGTGAGATGCGCACCCAGTTCAGCGCGGACAGTAATTTCAAGTCTCTTAGAGACGAGTTGGGGCAAAAGAACGATGAGCTCGTGAAGGTCATCGGCAGATGCAGCAAGCTCGATGGAGCGCTTAGAGCCAAGGAGGACGAGCTCGAAGTGAGCAAAGGGGTTGTGGCTGAGCATGTCGACCTTCAAACTCAACTGGCATCCCTGCGGGCTGAGCTTGAGCAGAGCTCGATAAGAGTTAACGACTTAAGTGATGAGTTGATCGAAAAAGTGGCAGAGCCGAAGAGGGCCGAGGAGGCCAGGGAAGCGACTTTGGCAAAGGTGCGGCGTTAGAGGATACCATCCGTGTCCTCAGATCTAAGCGGTCGAGTGATGCGGGGACGGTCGCGCTCAGGGAGGCAAGCGGATTAGTGGGCTTGAGAAAGAGGTTTCGGACCTTAATGAGCAGATCTCCATTCTCTAGGCCGAAAAGGTGCAGCTACTGGCTCAACCATCTTCTTCTCGTACTTCCACTTATCCCGATGTTCCACAGGATTCGTACGAGAAGTGGATTCATGTCGAGGCTCAACTAGACATATTTAGGGGATTGATGACAGCAGGGAGAGTTTCTGAGGCTGAGTTTGAGGATGCTCGTGCTAAGGCACGCGTAGCTCGGGTCGCTTGTGGTTACGATCCTACTACGCCGTGGGCTGGTGATGGTGAAAATGACTTGGATGGGATTGAGCCCGGTGCTTGGTACGATGACGAATACTCTAATGACGAGGACAATGATAGAGGCAATGGTGGGGGCGATGCTACTGAGTAATGCTTTTTGTAATCTTTTGTTTTTATTTTGTGGGCGTCTGTTCGGCCCTTGTAAGATACCTTTTGATTAGGAATGCTACTTTTGTTGTTTATTTCCGAGTCTCCTATTTTTTCCTTGAATATTTTCCTCAATTGATTGCCTTGATTAAAAGAATTATGTTGGTAGACGTTAGCTTGAACGCGATCGAGTGTTTTCGATTACTTCGATCGAAGTCGAACGTTGCCATAATTAACTCAAACGAGGTTATTCTGTGAATCAGGTTTGAGTTAGGCCGAATGTAAGTTGAATTCGAGCGAGGTCGAACGTCACTCTTAACTAATTCGAACAAGGTCAAATGTGAGTGTCTTAAATAATTCGAGCGAGGTCGAATGTGATTTTATTCGAGCAAGGTCAAATGTTACTCTTAACTAATTCAAACTAGGTCGAATGTGAGTGTCTTAATTAGTTCGAGCGAGGTCATATGAGTTGATTCGAGCGAGGTCGAATATTACTCTTAGTTAATTCGAACGAGGTTGAACGTGAGTTGATTCGAGCAAGGTCGAATGTTACTCTTAACTAATTCGAACTAGGTCGAATGTGAGTATCTTAATTAATTCAAGCAAGGTCAAATGTGAGTTGATTCGAGCGAGGTCAAATGTTACTTTTAGTTAATTCGAACGAGGTTTAATGTGAGTTAATTCGAGCAAGGTCGAATATTACTCTTGGTTAAGTAGAACGAGGTCGGATGTGAGTTGATTCAAGTGAGGTCGAATATTACTCTTAGTTAATTCGAACGAGGTCGAATGTGAGTTGATCCGAACGTGGCCGAATGTGAGTTGATCCGAACGTGGCCGAATGTGAGTTGATTCGAGTGAGGTCAAATGTTACTCTTAGTTAATTCTAACAAGGTCGAATGTGAGTTGATTCGAGCAAGGTCGAATGCTACTTTTAGTTAGTTTGAACGAGGTTGAATGTGAGTTGATTCGAGCAAGGTCGAATGCTACTTTTAGTTAGTTTGAACGAGGTTGAATGTGAGTTGATTCGTGTGAGGTCGAATGTTACTCTTAGTTAATTCGAACGAGGTCGAATGTGAGTATCTTGATCGGTGCGGAGTTAAAACTTGGTGGATACAAGCAAACATCTTGTGCTTGTATGCTCTGCTTACATGTATACATTGGAGAAGTTTACATGTTTTTCGGGTTGGTATTCCAGTCCCAGTCTATCTAGTCCCTTTATTGTTCGACCTGGAGAAGTATTCAAGGCGTCGAGTAATAAACTTTCTAACTTGTAATCTCACCAGCTCGTGCTTAACTTCAAAATGTCCTCCTCGTCACTTCGTTAAAAACCTCCCCGAGAAAACCCAATTGGGATAAAACTCAGGTGAGGGAAATAGAGTACAGCTCGGAGAACATCTTTCCTTAGAAGTTGAAGTACTTGAGGTGAGGGATGTTCTAGTTGTTTGATAGTAGTTTTCCCTCCATTGTTTATAGTTGGAACGACCTTTTGCTTGTTGCCACCGTAATTTTGTACGGGCCGTCCCAATTAGTCCCTAGCTTTCCTTCTCGTGGATAATTGCTTGCCTGTGTTTTAACTTTGAGTACGTAGTCTTTGACTTTGAGCGGTGTGATCTTGACTTTTTTGTTGTAGTATCGCTATGCATGTTGTTTCTGAGCGGTCATCCTTATGTAAGCCATATCTCTTCGTTCTTCTGCCTCATCGAGGTCTTACCTCTTGCTTTCATCATTTCTCGGCCCGCTCTCGTGTGAGTACCTTAGACTTGGTTCTCCAACTTCGACCGGTATTACTGTATCAGTCCCATAGACCAGTGAGTACGGTGTTTCTCCCGTGCTTGTTTTTGGCATTGTGCGATATGCCCATAAAACTTCCGGTAACAACTATGGCCACAGTCCCTTGGCATTCTCGAGCTTCTTTTTCATGATATTCAATATCGACTTATTGAAGGACTCCGCTTGCCCATTGCCCGCGGGATGATATGGCATGGAGAGTATTCTTTTGATATGCCATTTCTCGAAGAACTCGACAATCTTTTTTCCATTGAATTGAGGCTCGTTGTCATAACTGATTTCTTTGGAGAGGCCGAAACGGCACACGATATTCCTCCATATGAAGGTGATCACTTCTTGCTCGTGTATTTGGGCGAATGCATCTGCTTCTACCCACTTGGAAAAATAGTCAGTTAAAACTAAAAGAAATTGTACATTAACTCGTTCCGCCGGGAGGGGTCCGACGATGTCCATCCCTCATTTGATGAAAGGCCAGGGCGAGGTGACTGAGTGGAGGTGCTCGCCCGCTTGGTAGATCATGGGGCATATCTTTGGCATTGTTCGCATTTTCTTATGAAGTCGGCGGCCTCTTTTTTCATTGTAGGCTAGTAGTAGCCTGCTCGTATGAGGCATCTGACTAGGGCTCGATTGCTGGTATGAGCTCCACAGTGACCTTCATGGACTTCCTCTAGAACGCGCCGCGTCTGGTTTGGGCCTAAGCATTTTGCTAGGGGGCCGCAATACGTTCTTTTGTACAAGTCGTTGTTGATGACGTTGTACCTGGCCGCCTACATTCGAAGCTTCTTGGCTTCTTTTTTATCGTCAGGAAGCACTCCGTCCTGCAAATATGAATCTTTGGTTAAACTAATTAAATATAGGGATAAGGGAAACCCTATATCTAAAATCAGTTTATGCGGATAATATGGGATCACGTTGAAATGGATTTAATACAATACACAATAAATGTTGCGGTTATTAATGGGATGAGAATAATAATAAGTAATAAATAAAAATAAATGGCACTAAATGTAAATAAGGAGGAAGATTCACCCAATATTTGAATGAGTCGAATGATTCTTCCCCTGACAATGATGGATAATAAGAATACGAGAGAATATTGGACACTTTCTCGGATCTTGTAGAAATGATAATGGATAAAATATAAAGATCGAATCTCTCTCTCAGAAAGTTGTTCTTTGTATTTATCTAGAGAGCTTACTTTTCAAAAGTGTTCTTATCAAATAGAATATTACATGTTTTTGTCTTATCTCTCCTACTATTTATATGAGATATTCCCAAAGAACCTTAAAAGGTACAACAAAAAGAATATTCAATAGAATATTCCTTTTGAAGGTTCCAAAGCTATACTAGCCGTTACTTGTGTCCATGTTGCTCGACATCGGCCCTGATGAGCCACTCAACGGCTTGTTCTGTTGACCACTGATCGACCTCGGCCATACTGCCCATGGTAAGTTACAAATCTCACGATAATCACCTATTCGTATTGAATTTCCTCGGTCAGATTTTGACCCATACAAACATCTCATCATGGAAGATTTTAAAAAGCGTAACTATCATATCGAAGTTTGATTTTACTAAAGTTAACATAGATGTACGTTTCGACGGCTAGTCACTAGTCAGTCAAAGTTATTTTTTTTCAATTAATTTTCCTACTTATGTTGATATAATTCGAGTATTTGCCAAACATTTTATTAGACTTCAGAAGGGCAAGTCGGGTCAGATTTGAGTGGATCGAAAATAGGTAATACAAAAAAGGATAAATTACTCGATCCGATCCGATTCGTATTTAATACGAATAAAAAAGGTTAGCCGGCGGATAATATGGATAACCATATTATCCCTGACTTATTAAATATGATCACTTTTGGAAAAAAATTTAGTCTCCCAAACTTGAGGAATCTCTAATTTAAGGCTTTACAAATGTAAACTGTTAAACTCATTACAAATATGGATAATAAATATGGTTGTTATTCATATTTGAAAAGTTTATTATCCAACCCATTTTTAATGGATAATATAGGCAAATAACTGTTTTTTAAACCATTTGGCCACCACTAGTTGCAAATGGTATTCTCTCTAATTTGGCTAAAATTAAGATATAGAAAAAAATCTCACAGGTTTTGATTGTCTTCTGTGAAATGAGATTTTAAGATTGTTTAATTTATAATCGTATTCGAAATATAATATTGTTTAGTTAAATCATTAATTGAGTATTGTCACATTTCTTGACCCACAAAATTGCCATGGGTTATAGCCGCTTCTAAAATTCTAGCTATATATNATATACTGGGCGTGTTCCTTTTTTAAATTTAATGCCCTTTTATGGATGACTTGCATAAGGCACATTTATTCCTCCCACATTGCCCATATGAGTAGAGCTAATTTTGCAATTTGGCAGGACACAGGTGTAATGCGGCTCAGAAATCCATTTTTGATGTTAAGCAAGAGCAAGAAATTAGATATACAAATGAGTACTGATTGGTTCAATGGAGACCCTTTCTCCAACTCAATACAGGCTTTTACTATGTGCGGTCCAACAGAAAAACCATCTCACTATTCGAAATATGGTACGCGATGAGGAGGAATTGATGAAAGAGCAAGACGTGTCAAATCTCACTATTCGAAATAAGTTGACTTATTCACACTATATACATTTGGCTTCCGCAATAATTGGTATCAGAGCCAAGGTACTGTCTAAGTATGCTCTGTGGTTGCAGCATAGTCTGATCTTCCACATCAGAAAAGATTTATCTTGGTAACTGAGTCAAGGTTCTGTCTGAGTATGCTCTGTGGTTGCAGCATAGTCTGATCTTCCACATCAGAAAAGATTTATCTTGGTAACTGAGTCAAGGTTCTGTCTGAGTATGCTCTGTGGTTGCAGCATAGTCTGATCTTCCACATCAGAAAAGATTTATCTTGGTAACTGAGTCAAGGTTCTGTCTGAGTATGCTCTGTGGTTGCAGCATAGTCTGATCTTCCACATCAGAAAAGATTTATCTTGGTAACTGAGTCAAGGTTCTGTCTGAGTATGCTCTGTGGTTGCAGCATAGTCTGATCTTCCACATCAGAAAAGATTTATCTTGGTAACTGAGTCAAGGTTCTGTCTGAGTATGCTCTGTGGTTGCAGCATAGTCTGATCTTCCACATCAGAAAAGATTTATCTTGGTAACTGAGTCAAGGTTCTGTCTGAGTATGCTCTGTGGTTGCAGCATAGTCTGATCTTCCACATCAGAAAAGATTTATCTTGGTAACTGAGTCAAGGTTCTGTCTGAGTATGCTCTGTGGTTGCAGCATAGTCTGATCTTCCACATCAGAAAAGATTTATCTTGGTAACTGAGTCAAGGTTCTGTCTGAGTATGCTCTGTGGTTGCAGCTTAGTCTGATCTTCTACATCAGAAAGGAAATAATCTTGATTTGTGTCGTCAGCTATTAAATAATATTTGTGTCAAATATGGGAGACAATAAACAAGAAGAATCTACATCAAGTGTCAACAATACGTCATCATTGGCATCTTCGCTTATGACAAGAATTGTGTCAAATGCGAAATTTGCGGTAGAAATTTTTGACGGGTCCATGCATTTTGGGATGTGGCAAGGCGAGGTTCTAGATGTCCTTTTTCAACAAGGACTAGATCTGGCCATTGAAGAAAAGAAACCAGATGTTATTGGAGAAGAAGATTAGAAGATTCTCAACCGTGTTGCTTGCGGTACCATTCGATCCTTCCTTGCTAGAGAGCAGAAATATCCATACACAAAGGAAACTTCTGCAAGTAAATTATGGAAAGCACTGGAGGATAAATTTTTGAAGAAAAACAGTCAAAATAAATTGTACATGAAGAAGAGACTGTTTCACTTCACCTATGTTCCTGGTACCACGATGAATGAACATATCACCAGTTTCAATAAGTTGGTCACAGATTTGCAAAATATGGATACAACTTATGATGATGGTGACTTGGCCTTAATGTTGTTGGCGTCACTTCCTGATGAGTACGAGCACCTTGAAACTACTCTACTCCATGGAAATGACGAAATTTCTCTCAGAGAAGTTTGTTCGGCTTTGTACAGCTATGAACAAAGAAAGCGAGAAAAACAGAAGGGCGGAGAAGGAGAAGCACTATTTGTGAGGGGTCGTCCTCAAAATCAAACGAGGACAAAGAAGGGAAGATCCAAGTCAAGATCCAGACCCAGCAAAGATGAATGTGCCTTTTGTCGAGAAAAAGGGCACTGGAAGAAAGACTGTCCGAAGTTGAAGAATAAGGCCAAACATAACAATGGAAAGGCCATTATGGATTCAAATGTAGCTGATTGTGATGATTCAGACTTCTCATTAGTTACAACAGAGTCATCAACATCATCAGACATATGGTTGATGGACTCGGCTTGTAGCTATCATATGTGTCCCAACAGGGACTGGTTCGTGGAATTTCAAGAAGGAGAATATGGAGTCATCCACACAGCGGATAACAGCCCTCTTACCTCATATGGCATTGGTTCAATACGATTAAGGAACCATGATGGAATGATCAGAACATTGATAGATGTTCGATATGTACCGGATTTGAAGAAGAATCTCATCTCTGTGGGAGCCCTAGAATCAAAAGGGTTCAAAATCATTGCAGAAAATGGAGTGATGAGAGTATGCTCCGGTGCACTAGTGGTAATGAAGGCTAATCGGAAGAATAATAATATGTACCGCTATCGTGGCAGTACAGTTATTGGGACAGCGACAGTAACATCCAGTGACGACAAAGAGGCAGAAGCAACCAAGCTATGGCACATGCGCTTGGGACATGCTGGAGGAAAATCCTTGAAAACTCTATCAGATCAAGGATTGTTAAAAGGAGTAAAGGCTTGCAACTTGGAGTTTTGTGAGCATTGTGTTAAAGGGAAACAGACAAGGGTTAAATTTGGTACAGCGATCCATAATACTAAAGGCATTTTGGATTATGTACACTCTGATGTTTGGGGTCCTTCCAAAACACCTTCATTGGGTGGGAAGCACTATTTTGTAACCTTTGTTGATGATTTTTCCCGAAGAGTATGGGTGTATACAATGAAGAGCAAAGATGAAGTGTTGGGAATTTTTCTCAAATGGAAGACGATGGTGGAGAATCAGACAGGCAGGAGAATCAAGTGTATTCGCACAGACAATGGAGGTGAATACAAAAATGATCATTTCAATAAGGTCTGTGAAAATGATGGCATCATCCGACACTTCACTGTTAGACATACACCACAACAGAATGGAGTGGCAGAACGTATGAACCGGACCTTGCTGGAGAAGGTACGGTGTATGTTGTCCAATGCTGGCTTGGGCAAAGAATTTTGGGCTGAGGCAATTACATATGCATGCCACCTCATTAATCGTCTACCATCTGCTGCTATTGATGGCAAAACACCATTTGAAAAATGGTACGGAAAACCTGCTGTAGATTATAACTCTTTGCACGTGTTTGGCTCAACTGCATATTATCATGTGACGGAGTCAAAATTGGATCCAAGGGCAAAGAAGGCTATTTTTATGGGAATTACTTCTGGAGTCAAAGGATATCGCTTATGGTGTCCTATGACAAAGAAAGTAATATTCAGCAGAGATGTTACCTTTGATGAATTTGCTATGGTAAATAAGGTAACAGAAGATACCAAACAAAATGAAGGTGCTTCTAAGCAGGTGGAGTTTGAGGGAAAATTTATTTTTCCTACACAAGAAGCAGAGGAGGAAACAAATGAAGATTACCCTCTGGAAGGAGAGCCAGTAGAGGAGATTCCAACTCAGGAATCTCAACAACAACTTGAATCAATAGCAACCAGCAGGCCAAAAAGAACAATAACGAAACCTGTTCGTCTCATAGAGACGGTTGCTTGTGCAACCTCAATTGTAGCTGATGATGTTCCTACTACTTATAAAGACGCTGTCCAAAGTTCAGAAGAAGATAAGTGGAGGATTGCCATGAATGATGAAATACAGTCCCTTCATCAGAATCATACATGGAGATTGGCCAATCTCCCGAAGGGAAAGAAAGCAATTGGGTGCAAATGGGTATTTGCAAAGAAGGAAGGATTTCCTAACCAAGTAGATGTTCGCTACAAAGCAAGATTGGTGGCCAAAGGATATGCTCAAAAGGAGGGAATTGATTACAATGAAGTGTTTTCTCCAGTTGTAAAACATTCCTCCATTAGAATTATGTTGGCTTTGGTAGCACAATTGGATTTGGAACTAGTTCAGATGGATGTAAAAACTGCGTTTTTACATGGAAACTTGGAGGAGGAAATCTACATGACTCAGCCAGAAGGATTCAAAGTTGCTGGAAAAGAAAATATGGTGTGCAAACTTGAAAAATCGTTGTACGGATTGAAACAATCTTCTAGACAATGGTACAAGCGATTTGACGAGTTTATGTTGCGGCAAGGGTACAAGAGAAGCAAATACGATCATTGTGTGTATTTGCACAAGCTTAAAGATGGTTCCTTTGTATATCTTCTCCTATATGTTGATGATATGTTGATAGCTTCCAAGAATTCGGAAGAAATTGATAAGTTGAAGATTCAACTGAAGAAGGAGTTCGAGATGAAGGATTTGGGTGAGGCAAAGAAAATTCTTGGCATGGAGATAATTAGAGATAGACGTTCAAAGAAACTCTGTTTATCTCAAAAGGAATATTTGAAGAGAGTACTTCAACGTTTTGGCATAGATGACAAGACTAAGCCAGTTAGTACTCCACTTGCTTCCCATTTTAAGCTAAGTACTACTATGTCGCCAATGGATGAAGCTGAACGAGAGTATATGTCAAAGGTACCATACGCAAATGCTGTTGGTAGCTTGATGTATGCAATGGTTTGCACAAGGCCTGACATTTCACAAGCTGTTGGAGTTATTAGCAGATATATGCACAATCCAGGGAAGGAGCATTGGCAAGCTGTGAAGTGGATTCTACGGTATATTCATAATACTGTAGATGTCGGGTTAGTTTTTGAGCAGGAAGACAATCAGTCTGTAGTTGGATATTGTGACTCAGATTTTGCGGGTGATATGGACAAACGAAGATCAACTACTGGTTATGTGTTTACTTTTGCAAAGGCACCAGTTAGTTGGAAGTCTACTTTGCAGTCAACAGTTGCTTTGTCTACAACAGAGGCAGAGTACATGGCTATTACAGATGCTGTGAAAGAGGCAATTTGGCTTCAAGGATTGCTAAAGGAGCTTGGTGTTGAACAAAAAGGTATCACAATTTTTTGTGATAGTCAAAGTGCTATTCAATTAGCGAAGAACCAAGTTTATCATGCAAGGACGAAGCACATTGATGTTCGGTATCATTTCGTACGAGAAATCATAGAAGAAGGTGGAGTCACGGTGAAGAAAATTCATACTACAGAGAATCCTGCTGATATGCTGACAAAGGTGGTGACTGCGGTCAAGTTTCAACATTGTTTGGATTTGATCAACATTGTTGAACACTGAAGATTGAAGATGAAGACACAACCAAAATTTGTTATTGAGAGAGAATTGAAAATGTGGAATTTTGCCAAGGTGGAGATTTGTTGAAGTTTGGCAAAATGCCAAAGTCCCACATTGGTTGGGAGTTAAGTTTGGGGGGGATTTTTCCCCTATAAAAGAAGGCCTAATGTTTAGGATTGAAACACACCTCTCATTTGCCTTCTCATCTGTTTAAGGCATTTGTATCTTCTCTCTTTAGTATTATTTCACTTGTATTTTTGGAGTGGAATAAAATATTGGTTGTGTCCGAGGAGTAGGCAAAATTAGCCGAACCTCGTAAATTCTGGTGTTCCCTTTATTGTTGCTTTATTGTCTTATTTATTATTTGGTGGCTGTCATAATTTTTGGTATAGTAGTTGTGACTTATTCACACTATATACATTTGGCTTCCGCAACATTAGCCAAATTGATACGTCAAAGTGTGAATCGAATCGAGAGCTAGGTCTTAAAATTAAATATTTGGACACTCATTTTTTTAGTGGTTTTTGTAGCGATAAATTGTGATAAAATATGTCATCGAGGGATTTTACTTAGAGATATTGAGCTGGTTGTGACCGTTCATGCTAATTGTTGCCGGAGCATAGAAGCCAAAGTGGCTGATTTAAAGAATGTGATAATGGATTGGAAGAGATTCAAGGAGGCTATTGCTGCTGCTGGTGAGGATGAAAGGAACAATGGTAGCTTCAAATGGTCTAGGCATATTTCTGGTGACAATTCATGGCATGTACTATACACATTGTTTTTTCCTATACTTTAGTGACCCACAGTACGGCAGTGAAGTATTTAACAACTAGGTGACCAAGTAGAAGGTACTAAGACACTTAAGAGAACTATGTCAAAAGAAATCTGAAAAATAAACCCCAACTTCAAGAGGAGTTTTTATTTATTTATTTACATTTTAATTTTTTGAACTTTTTCTTATGCTTTTAACTTTACTTTTTTTAAATACTTAAAGCTACTTGTTATTTTTGAATCAGAATCTATATATATAGTTAGGACAATAGGAAATGTGTTGGCACGGCCACGAATCCTATTTATCTATTTTCTCTTCTTTTTTTTGTGTGTGTGGCTTTTATCCCCTTTTCCATATTTGTGTGCCATTTTCTTTATACAATATAATATCCATCCATTAATAAAAAAACGGTCCCAACAATGAATGTTACGGACCATTACTACCTTCCCTGTTCCACAATTATGGTACATTACTATTATATGATAATGGTAATATATGTTAAGAATGATAAACTGAAGATGCGGATCCATAAGGATGATAATTTGATAATGAAGAAACTTGAAGAGAAAATGAAGATCAACGAGAGGTGTTTACTTCTTCTTTTTCAAGAGTTTCTGTTTAAATTTACGAATTAATGATAAGTTTAATTTGTGACATCATTATTGATCTATTACTTTGATGACTTTGTGGTTAGCTATCTTTAAAGTCTAGCAGATATGGACATTACGTTCCAACCTCTCAAGGTAATTTTTTTGCTCTTTGTCTTTCTTTCATTTTTTATTTTGTAGTTATATGTTATATTAAGATTTTTTCCGATTTAAAATACTAATCTGCTTATGATATAGTTAATCGTCAAAAAATTGCCTCACGAATGTGAGAGTAATAATAAATGCATAGACAGACCTGATATCAATAATCCGGCTAGTGCCTATATGTTATATGTGTTGCTAAATTCATATGAATGATTACAAAGTTCAAAACTTATCTCTGACCAATCCCACTTTTCTCACCCTTGTCTTTAATCATTGTTATATATTAGGTGCCATTTAATTTTGTCCTATAATTTATTTTTGTTTGTTTGTCAAATTCTTTTAATCTTCCTGAAATAATTTTAAAAATTATCCTTGTGTACTTATATTTCTATCTTATCTTTTTTTTTAGGTACATTTCTCGGCCCTTTCTCGGTTTGGAATGCAAATGCTAAATAATGTTGTTTAGAAGCTAAATTATCTTTCTTAATAAAATAATAGTATAAAAATTGATATGTACTTACTTTAATGAAAAGGAACCGATTCATAATTCGCTTGATGAAGTTTGATTTTATTTGCAACATATTTCATATCTGATATTCTAGTTAATATTGTTGCTTTCTTAAACAAAAGAAACTTTTACGTTCACACTCCGTCTATAACCTTTTAGAATAACGACAATGTATTAATCATCTTCAAATATTAGAAACTTTCTCATTCAATAAGAAGTTTCTTCAACGAACTGTTCAAACATTTATTTCTACAAATTAAAGATATCAGAATTCTTGATTCTTTTCTTAATTTACATGCTTATTAAAGAAAATAAATATTAGTTTCACCTATATTAATCTATTAGAATTTGAAGAATAAAAAAGAATAAGATTTTTTGAAATATTTTACTATATATTTTAAAATGCAATAACGTATTTTATTACCGCGCGAACAAATTAACTAGTTATTATAATAAACATTGTTTGTACAACTGTCTGACTCGATAATTTTTCTATATTGGTAGTCTTGTAATGATAACGTGTCTTACTCGGTAAAAGTAACTGTTATACTACACTGAACAAGGGATCTTTAACATAATCATTATCATTAGTTTGCAAATTCTTGCTTTTATCAATCTACAACAGATAGAATGAAACTAGGTAAAATGAAATAAGCACTTCATTGAGAAACCAAACGTCATGTTTGTTTTTCTACAAACTCTTAATTTGCTCCCGTTCAACATTATTAAGAGCATGTGTACTATTATTCATTCATTATTAAGCCAAACAATTGTGTGAAGATCCGAGATTAAATGTTGGTATACATCTTGTATATTAGAATTCTAAAAATAAGTACATGAAGGAGAGAGTATTCACTATTCCGTGGTGTATTCTCATGTCCTAAATAAATGGTATAGAAAACAACCAAGATGGAGGACTCTCTGCAACTACAATTTGGATTGATACAATTAAGTTGAACAAAATTAAAAAAAAAAAAATGAGTTAACATCTGAAAGTCCTTTGGTTTGGCTGGTCTAATTCTCAAGTTGGCAGTTGGGTTTGATCCTATCTTTGTGTCCCGTGCTTAGTTTGGCAAACCTTTACACTTTAAACAGAAAACCCTATTCTCTTGCCACCTACTCAGTTACATTTCCTTATCATTGGCAACCCCAATATCCTCCTGTCCGTAATTAGCTATAGAAAAACTAAAATGAATATTTAGATGCAAAGGAAAACTCTCGACTCACAATCCACTCTAGCATCCAAGGCTATTTGGACATCTGTAAATCTACAGACTTTGTGTTTCATAGAAGTCAAGTTGACACGTTCCTAATAAAAGAAGTCTTAGCTGACAACTGAAGGAATTAACCTGTTTAATTTTTCATTTTTTAAAAAATATGATTATGAGGAGGTACATACTAATTTTAGAAACAATAACTCTACTCTCTATCTCTACTTGGAATAGTATTGCGTGACACAACAGTTAAGCCTTCCTTATTACTTGTCTTTATGGCTTTGCCCAATTCATCTCCATTCAATCTGGTCTCATAACAATTCAAAATCCCAGCAGCTTCCTTGTTGTAACTGGAATTTGCAGCGTAATTCATGCCCAACTTCTTTTTCCTTTGGTCTAATTCTATTAGGAGAATTACACTGACCACGCCCAACTATATCTTATAAAAAGGGGACATTACAAATATAATCTGAGTATTTAGCTCAGAGTCGAATCCACAGGGAATTAACCTATCAACTACTCTTGTTAGATTCACTAAATTCTACGTAATCAACTTCCCAAATATTTTGAATAACAATTTATGATATTTTTACTGACTATAACCGAATACAATTAGGTAAACTAAAGACTAACTATGATTGCGTTGTAAATAATTAAGAGCAGGGTTTAATGTTAAGATTTCCCCTATTGATGGAATCTCTTCCTCTTATGTTTTATACAGATTTGTATAATCATCTCTATCGATCATGAGCACTCTTACTACCGTAAATCTCTCCAGAGTAATTACGATAATTTACTAGACGCACTCTCCTGAGTTACGCTAGCTGGCCTTTATTACATCTCACTTTAGATCACACCCAAGGCTTCGTTATCCTTAATCCCGCCTTTAAACCCTCGGTTATTGATCCCTCATATACTTTGGGAGTGGTTTTGCTCAACAACTACCTAAGTATGCACTCTTTCCCGAGTAATACATACTAAATAGGCACAGCTAATTGAGGATCCTATCAATTAACTACAACAAGAACGAAGTTGAACAAATAGAGATTAAACCGGACAAATTATATTAACATAACACGAAGTTCATCCTTCAACAAGTTCCATCAAAATCCTAGACTAAATATTTAGCTACTCATATCAAAGCAAGATAAAACTACAAAAGTATTCATAATGTGCAAATAAAGATAACAAAGAGAAGATTGAAAAACTCTAATGGTTGATTGCTCTTCTCACACTTGTTCTTGCCTCCAATTCAATCTAAAAACAAACTTAACCTTTGCTTGGGTGAGTTTGTTGAGTTTATAAAGGGTTAGGATAAGTTTCCCCCGATTTACACTTTAATCCCAAAATTTCTGGGCGATTACACAGTCGACCGCGGTCGCGGCAGAACACGGCGCGACCGCGGTGAATCGCAACTATTCTGCCTCAATCTTTTGTCCCATCGCGTTCCAGCCGCGGTCGACCGCGGTTGCGGTGGCCTCTTGTCCAGTCCTCCTTTACCTCTTTCTTGCTTAATTTCGTTTAGGTTCTTCTTGATTGGCCTTATATCCACATTATTGATTCCAAAACACTTCATAGTCTCTTCCTAACTTGGATTAGTCCCTGCAAAGCAAAAGAACACCAATTAGAGTATTTTGTTATCATTTAGCCTTTAAAACACAATAAAGTATGGTACATTTAGAGTGTAAATAGCGTCTATATATCCTACTATCATACACCTAGGTTGCCGATATTGCAACTAAAACATCATACAACTTAAAGCATAATTGAGCAGATTCAAATTAAATTCAATCGCCTTCAAATTTCGGATTCAACTTTATATTAGTAATTCCAACAAGAATCTATGCTACACAATTAATTTCTCACACAAAATTTAAATCTCACATAAAACTCAGTTTCTCCGAAGTGTGACGATGGCGCTTTTAATGTAACTAGTCAAAGGGTACGCGCGTTGCGCGTGTATCCATATCAATGAATATAAAATTCTTAAAAATTATATAAATATTAAATTTATCTGTCCTGAATTATAAAATAAAATTAAATGAAAGCCTTTATGTTTTATAATAGTATAGATAAATAGATAGATATTACAATGCAAGCAAAATCTTATTCAATTTAAATTTCTAATATTAGGAGTCCTACTTAATTCAAATAGAAAATTTTAATAAAATTTTAGATAATTTTAAAGTTTTAAATATTAAAAATTAAATAATTATTTTAATTTATAGTACAGTATTAGATGTTTTTGAAATAAAACTTGTTCAACAAACATCTTTGTGGAATCACAGAACTATAATATTTGTAATTCATTTGTTTTATTTGTCATTCACCTAATTATACATTATACATTCTAAAAAATAATATAGAATACCAAATACATTATTTATATATTCTATATGTATTTATTAATACATTATTACTATTATTACTTTTAGTAAAAATAACATTTATTCTTGTGTCATATATACAGATACTATTTTAAGAGTTATTTCAATCATTGTTTTATTATTATTGATGTCTAATATTTTGAAGTCAATAAATTAAAATATTATTTAAATTCTTAATTGGATGTTTTCTAATGCTATACGAATTATACAGACACTACAATAATTAAGCTATACGAATTGTACAAACACTACAATAATTAAGTGAATGAAACAAAAGCTGGAAATAAGAACAAAATCTCATCGTTGTTGACATGCATGAGATCTTTCACCTATTTTCTTTCAATCCTTTTTTTAAAATATTTTTTTCTCTTTAATATAGTACTCCTAATCTGAGTGGAGTTGAAATTTTAAAAACTTTATTAATAAAACAAAACCTTATAAAGTGGATGAAACTTTCCTAGTTTGGATCGAAAAGTATAGGAATTCTAGAATTAAAAAAAGTAAATTCTAAATATAAGGAAAATAATTAAATGAATACTCCTAATTAAGTAAATGCTCCTATATATTAGAAAAATAATTAAATAATTATTGCTAAATATTAGGAGAATGATCTAATGACTATTTTGTCCAATGTGAACTATATTTTAAAAGGGTAAAAAAGACGAAAAACATTTCGCTAAGGGCCTTCGTGCTTTTATTATAGTATAGATACTCGAAATTTCTCCACCAAAATTATTCCGTTCCCATCAATATTCAATTTTTTTCTATTCAAACAAATATGAATCATTGTACATGAGTCGATTTGGAATTCATTCTCTATTTTTCTTTCCTTAATAAATCAAATGAGAAAAGAACAATGTATGGTACATCAACATACAAATTAAAAATAAAATTCGTCAAATTGAATACAAATTTGATATCTACAATAATATACATAGTAAAAACAAATTTCATACAACTAATTATACGGTATACAACTAATTTACAACTTATCTACAACTTTCATACATTATTATTACCCAATTAAGTACAACTACAATATCATACAACTTAAATACAATTTTGATATAAATTTTATACAATATGTATTTTGTATATAATTTGTATATATTTTGTATGCGGTGTATGCTTTTTCCTCTCTAAAATTCCAACTACAACTTTCTCTCTTAATACAATTTTGATACATATCAACAACTTTATGTAAAAAGATAGTATTGATAACTTAAATACAAATTTTATACAATGCTTCATATATTATACAACTAATTTTTAACTTTCATACAATATTCTAATAAAAAAAATACATATAACTACAACAAAATACAATTTATATATAATTATACCACAACTTTACTAC